CCACTACCACTACCACTATCAATATCACTATCACTCTCAATCTCAATCTCAATCTCAATCTCACTCTCACACAAGCAACAAACACACAGCACCACACAACATTCTCTCAACAACATCCAGCACATCTCACAATGCATAATCACGCACAACTTGTTCATGCACCACGGTTATACATCCCATCAACATCACCATCAACAACATCAACATCATCATCATCATCATCATCATCATCATCATCACCAACTCCCACAAACACTTCCATGTCTCCGAATTCGTCAGGTCCCCTGTCCCTATCCTCACACCACTCCTCCCTCCTGTCCCAATCACTACAGATCACCGTCCACACCGACAAATATCACAGGCACCGAACAATCACATAGACCATGACCAACCTGTAGGAAGTAGCACCAACTGGTGAATAGGTTTCTTTGTCGTCATTATAATGACAGCACACAATGCATTGCGTCGCATTGCATTGTGATGCGTTCCATAGAAACGAATTGATGATGTGTTTAGTGATTGCATTCGATGTGCGTTGATTGTTGTTTGGGCGATAGTGAGTGTGTGCCACAGTTTGATTGAGTGCTTGCACATGTTGGTAGGACTGCCACTGATCATCAGCTCCACATTAATACACAACATATACAGATGTACATGTTTATAATTAGCGATTGATAAAACGGTCAATGTGTTCACGGACCTGTCGAGATGAGTTGGGCGACGATTTCAGACAGTAATCGGTGGAGGTGTATATCCCAGTCGGAAATCGGTCACAAGGTTGTGAACTCCAATCCCCACCACTCACCTGTGCACGAACAATCACGAACGATTGTCACCGTCCACATATCACATGAGATCCCTTGTCAATATTGACAACATCAAGTTCATGATGAAACAAGGCGACTGAACAATGTGATTGCAGTGCAATAATTGTGTGGCTGTTACATTTTCTGTTGCTGTTGTTGTTGTTGGTGGTGGTGGTGGTGGTGGTGGTGTTGGTTTGTTAGTGTTGATATTGTGTACGTGTGTGTGAGAGTTTGAAGAATAAGTGTAGGTGTTAACGCACACACACACGCACACACGCGTGCACACCACGGAATTCATGGCGTCGTGTACGCTTTGTGTGTGCATATTGAAGAATGTTCTGTGAGATGTGTGATTCCGGCCTCGAATTCCAAGCGATATCAGTGAGTTTGGAATGGGCATGATTATGCACATGTGAGAACTGATGTTTGGATGAAAGCGTTAGTCCGATGTGTGTGTATGTGTGTGTGCCGCACATGGACGCAGACAGAGTTGTGAAGATACATGCAGTGACGCTCCCGATTCGTGTTGACTGGATAGATTGGTTGAGTGCGATTGACGTGTGGTTTGCATGTTGGTATTTTGTGTGTATTGACTTATGTCGTTCACATTCAAGGGTTGTGATGGAGGTGGGATTCGAACCCACGCCCTTTCGGACTGGTGCCTTAAACCAGCGCCTTGGACCACTCGGCCACTCCACCTACAATACTGATGATCATCGCATTCACACACAGCACACACTAAACCCTCTCTCACTAATCAACGCATCCACCTCAACTAACATATCGAATACATCCTCCACCAGCAATCACACCGTATCCCACTCCCACTCCCACTCCCACTCCCACTACCAATACCACTACCACTACCAATAAGACTAACACTACCACTACCACTACCACTACCAATACCACTGCCACTGCCACTACCACTATCAATATCACTATCACTCTCAATCTCAATCTCAATCTCAATCTCACTCTCACACAAGCAACAAACACACAGCACCACACAACATTCTCTCAACAACATCCAGCACATCTCACAATGCATAATCACGCACAACTTGTTCATGCACCACGGTTATACATCCCATCAACATCACCATCAACAACATCAACATCATCATCATCATCATCATCATCACCAACTCCCACAAACACTTCCATGTCTCCGAATTCGTCAGGTCCCCTGTCCCTATCCTCACACCACTCCTCCCTCCTGTCCCAATCACTACAGATCACCGTCCACACCGACAAATATCACAGGCACCGAACAATCACATAGACCATGACCAACCTGTAGGAAGTAGCACCAACTGGTGAATAGGTTTCTTTGTCGTCATTATAATGACAGCACACAATGCATTGCGTCGCATTGCATTGTGATGCGTTCCATAGAAACGAATTGATGATGTGTTTAGTGATTGCATTCGATGTGCGTTGATTGTTGTTTGGGCGATAGTGAGTGTGTGCCACAGTTTGATTGAGTGCTTGCACATGTTGGTAGGACTGCCACTGATCATCAGCTCCACATTAATACACAACATATACAGATGTACATGTTTATAATTAGCGATTGATAAAACGGTCAATGTGTTCACGGACCTGTCGAGATGAGTTGGGCGACGATTTCAGACAGTAATCGGTGGAGGTGTATATCCCAGTCGGAAATCGGTCACAAGGTTGTGAACTCCAATCCCCACCACTCACCTGTGCACGAACAATCACGAACGATTGTCACCGTCCACATATCACATGAGATCCCTTGTCAATATTGACAACATCAAGTTCATGATGAAACAAGGCGACTGAACAATGTGATTGCAGTGCAATAATTGTGTGGCTGTTACATTTTCTGTTGCTGTTGTTGTTGTTGTTGGTGGTGGTGGTGGTGGTGGTGGTGTTGGTTTGTTAGTGTTGATATTGTGTACGTGTGTGTGAGAGTTTGAAGAATAAGTGTAGGTGTTAACGCACACACACACGCACACACGCGTGCACACCACGGAATTCATGGCGTCATGTACGCTTTGTGTGTGCATATTGAAGAATGTTCTGTGAGATGTGTGATTCCGGCCTCGAATTCCAAGCGATATCAGTGAGTTTGGAATGGGCATGATTATGCACATGTGAGAACTGATGTTTGGATGAAAGCGTTAGTCCGATGTGTGTGTATGTGTGTGTGCCGCACATGGACGCAGACAGAGTTGTGAAGATACACGCAGTGACGCTCCCGATTCGTGTTGACTGGATAGATTGGTTGAGTGCGATTGACGTGTGGTTTGCATGTTGGTATTTTGTGTGTATTGACTTATGTCGTTCACATTAAAAGGTTGTGATGGAGGTGGGATTCGAACCCACGCCCTTTCGGACTGGTGCCTTAAACCAGCGCCTTGGACCACTCGGCCACTCCACCTACAATACTGATGATCATCGCATTCACACACAGCACACACTAAACCCTCTCTCACTAATCAACGCATCCACCTCACCTAACATATCGAATACATCCTCCACCAGCAATCACACCGTATCCCACTCCCACTCCCACTACCACTACCAATACCACTACCACTACCAATAAGACTAACACTACCACTACCACTACCACTACCAATAACACTGCCACTGCCACTACCACTATCAATATCACTATCACTCTCAATCTCAATCTCAATCTCAATCTCACACAAGCAACAAACACACAGCACCACACAACATTCTCTCAACAACATCCAGCACATCTCACAATGCATAATCACGCACAACTTGTTCATGCACCACGGTTATACATCCCATCAACATCACCATCAACAACATCAACATCATCATCATCATCATCATCATCATCATCACCAACTCCCACAAACACTTCCATGTCTCCGAATTCGTCAGGTCCCCTGTCCCTATCCTCACACCACTCCTCCCTCCTGTCCCAATCACTACAGATCACCGTCCACACCGACAAATATCACAGGCACCGAACAATCACATAGACCATGACCAACCTGTAGGAAGTAGCACCAACTGGTGAATAGGTTTCTTTGTCGTCATTATAATGACAGCACACAATGCATTGCGTCGCATTGCATTGTGATGCGTTCCATAGAAACGAATTGATGATGTGTTTAGTGATTGCATTCGATGTGCGTTGATTGTTGTTTGGGCGATAGTGAGTGTGTGCCACAGTTTGATTGAGTGCTTGCACATGTTGGTAGGACTGCCACTGATCATCAGCTCCACATTAATACACAACATATACAGATGTACATGTTTATAATTAGCGATTGATAAAACGGTCAATGTGTTCACGGACCTGTCGAGATGAGTTGGGCGACGATTTCAGACAGTAATCGGTGGAGGTGTATATCCCAGTCGGAAATCGGTCACAAGGTTGTGAACTCCAATCCCCACCACTCACCTGTGCACGAACAATCACGAACGATTGTCACCGTCCACATATCACATGAGATCCCTTGTCAATATTGACAACATCAAGTTCATGATGAAACAAGGCGACTGAACAATGTGATTGCAGTGCAATAATTGTGTGGCTGTTACATTTTCTGTTGTTGTTGTTGTTGTTGTTGGTGGTGGTGGTGGTGGTGGTGTTGGTTTGTTAGTGTTGATATTGTGTACGTGTGTGTGAGAGTTTGAAGAATAAGTGTAGGTGTTAACGCACACACACACGCACACACGCGTGCACACCACGGAATTCATGGCGTCATGTACGCTTTGTGTGTGCATATTGAAGAATGTTCTGTGAGATGTGTGATTCCGGCCTCGAATTCCAAGCGATATCAGTGAGTTTGGAATGGGCATGATTATGCACATGTGAGAACTGATGTTTGGATGAAAGCGTTAGTCCGATGTGTGTGTATGTGTGTGTGCCGCACATGGACGCAGACAGAGTTGTGAAGATACACGCAGTGACGCTCCCGATTCGTGTTGACTGGATAGATTGGTTGAGTGCGATTGACGTGTGGTTTGCATGTTGGTATTTTGTGTGTATTGACTTATGTCGTTCACATTAAAAGGTTGTGATGGAGGTGGGATTCGAACCCACGCCCTTTCGGACTGGTGCCTTAAACCAGCGCCTTGGACCACTCGGCCACTCCACCTACAATACTGATGATCATCGCATTCACACACAGCACACACTAAACCCTCTCTCACTAATCAACGCATCCACCTCACCTAACATATCGAATACATCCTCCACCAGCAATCACACCGTATCCCACTCCCACTCCCACTCCCAATACCAATACCAATACCAATACCAATACCAATACCAATACCAATACCAATACCAATACCAATACCAATACCAATACCAATACCAATACCAATACCAATACCAATACCACTACCACTACCACTACCACTTCCGCTACCACTACCACTACCAATACCACTACAACTACCACTGCCACTGCCACTACCACTATCAATATCACTATCACTCTCAATCTCAATCTCAATCTCACTCTCACACAAGCAACAAACACACAGCACCACACAACATTCTCTCAACAACATCCAGCACATCTCACAATGCATAATCACGCACAACTTGTTCATGCACCACGGTTATACATCACCATCTACATCAGCGTTGTGTTAGCCTTTTGTTTGAATTGTTGTTTTTTAAACTATATATTTTGCTTCTGTTTTTTTCATTCACTGGATAAACATCAACTACTTGATACATGAACTTCGTTGTCGGAATTCACATATGTAATTATACTCTGGCCGTTCTTTCTACTGCATCGTCTGTTCATAGTTGCTTTAATTCAAATTACTTCTGTTATTATCGGGGATTCGTACTGTATTTAGATTATGTCTTTATCTCCACATATGTTTACTTGATTTATTGGCATTAACATACATCTGGAATGCATTATTTAATATAAATATCTGTGTTGAATTATTCTTTCACCAAAATTTTATTTTTGAAAAATCAGTCCATTTAGTTGTATTTTTGTTACATTTTAATTGGTCAAATATTACTAAAGAATATAACATGTAAATTAATTTATGAACATAGAAGTAAGCACTATACAAAAACATCCAATTTTTGTTGTAAACACTTTCAACTATCAATATAACAACATGTGTGTTCAACGTACAGTTGAAAAAGAAAATTTAATGATTTGGTTGCATCTTTTAACAATGAACATTTTTGTTTTTTTCCACTACAATTTGATTTGATAGTTGGTTTAAGCTTGTAATTCTATGCATCTGAAGAAAATTTTAAACACAATTTGAAGTCATTTGGAGAACCATTGAAAGTCGAAGCGTTGTGAACAACCGTTTCCTCCGAATTAATATACAGATATGATCACATGTCATTAAAACTCTCTAAACTTATGAGCACTAAATAGGTTTATGTTACCAATGTCATAGAACCAGCTATATTACATAATGATTGTCCAAACACAAGTGAACTTTACCAGTCACCACCTCACTGGAACTTCTTCAATTCATCTGGAAGTTAGTCATTAATATTCAGACAGTGGTTTGCTCTATGGAGTACTAGTTATGAAAATATAAAACGAAATGTGAGAGATAGTTTTAAAATCTTAGGGGTTATATATATATATATATATATATATATATATATATATATATATATATATATATATATATATATAATTTATAAAGCATAAGCATTCAATATGGTTTCATATGTCTCAACTTAGATAAGTCAACACTAGACTTTACATCATTATTAAACTAGATTAATGTGTTAAATCAATAGCCAAGGCTAAAACTGCTGACTGGATTCTTAACACTGGATTTCATACGAACCTGACTAACTTCAGATTCAGGATTCTCATTTCAACAGATTCAAGTAGGTCGTCGATGTAGTTGCGTTGCTCACTTTTTGTAATCAATAAAAAATAGCTGGAGATCTTTAATAGTTATTTATATGTTTACCAATGTGTTTACACTGATTACCACCATACAGTTACCGCGTAGCTTCGTCAAAAAAATCTTAATCAAACTCATTAGCAAAAACGCAATCAAATGTGGGAACCAACCAACAGATCATTCCACTACATATAAAGGACATATCAGATATCCCAATAATATTTTTGAAGTTGTTTGGAATCAGCACAGCTTATAAACCTCCAAGTCAATTAAAGCAGTCGTAAGCAAATCAAATGACGAAATGACAAAAGTGAAGATGTCAGATATCACCTGTAAAATGAAATGTTCCGACTGCTTTAAAAATTACATCGAACAAAATGGTAACCCTTTCCATTTTCATCTGTATGAATACTAACTAGATATATAATGCCACTATCTATCTTCGCTTATATCATCGCTTATATCATCGCACGTGAACAATTGTGAACAAACGTTCGATTTGGAAAATGTTGGAATTTTTGGATGAAAGGAATATAAAGAAGACCAGAGAATTTTTAGAAGCTTAAAATTCAGGTCAATCAGCAATCAATAAACAAACTGAAATCAACCCGATCTATCAACTAGAATCAGGTCAAATGAGGATACAATCAAAATAAACATGCAAATGATGACAGGATAAGGGTCAGGAATTGTCAGTCAAGATCAAGGCAGACAGGTTAAGCTGTCAGTCATGTATGGAGAAATTCAAACAGCTCTCTTCCACCTGAAGTTTGTGCTGATGATGTTGTTTATGAGAACAATAGAAGCTTCACGACTTAACCATTAAGCTCATGGGGAAAAACTTCACAGAAATAGCTCACCTAAGCGACAAATCACTGAATGATGCGTTAGTATTTATCAATATATCATTACTCCATAAGCAAATTATTTAAATATTATTACAAGTGCAGTGTGCATGCACATGCACATACATATGTTAGTTAACCATATTATTGTTTTATCACTCAGTATATACATAGTATATTCTATCGAAATTATGCTACCGTGTCATAAAATAGTTTTCTCTAACCAATGACATTTAGTATTATTAACATGGCTAATTAAATTAATCTGCTTTCAGAATCACTCAATTTATCAAAGAAAATTTAATTTATTTGTATTTTTTTAAACACACAAAATGTACTTTAAATATGCACGCTATATTTAAAAAAAGAGTACGGTTAAATAATTAGTTATATCACTTCACATTCAATTCTGTCTAATAAAAACGAATTCTTATCTCTGGAGTAGGTTCTTATCGGTCAATTTTATGCATGAGTGATGAAATCAGTCGATCAGTTAACCATTTCATTAATAATGTATTTTCGTAATTTATATCAACTCAAGTTGTCATGTATGTTTACACAGATATGTCAATATAATGAATGCTTGAATTGTCGTTTAGAGTGTTTTACTATTTTCAAAAATATAAATACATTATTCATATAAACACAAGTGTATATATTCATAATTTTGACCCAGGTAAATCTCTACTAAATATTTTATATATATAAAAATTCACTACATATCTTAATATAAATGATTTATTACATATATATTTGCTAAACATTTAGACTTTCAACGAATAGTAGACATCGAATAGGATGTTTGTTAGCAAGTGAGAAATAAGTAAGTATCAAACTTGGAAAGCTATGCTTTATGATCTCAGTATTTATATTTTTAATATGTGTTTAGTAAATACGTAATTTATGAGACTTTTATTGTTTCCCAATTGTAAACTTCTATTTAACTCATTGATTGTTGTTATATCTGACTCTGTTTTTAAACTTTTCTAGATTAATTAAAAACCTGTTATTCAGATTTTGTACTGCAAATGGCCAAGTCGGAAAAATGTTGATGTATTGTATTTATGGCAGTTCTGAAATTCATATATGAAGTCAAGTGTTTTAGTCAGACACACAGAGATAATATCAGCCGTCTTGTCCCTTTCCCAACTTGTATGCCTAGATTTTTGATATTTAAATCTCTATAAATCTTAACTACTAACTTCAGTGTTATATTTCGTGCCTCTTTCCTTTTCTCTGAACTATATTGAACATTTATATTTAAACATAGTAAATGTAGATTTAAATTGTTTTCAACTGGAAAAAACTTGCGACTGAATGATGATTTAATATTGCGTTTCATATGTTCGTTAATCTTACATTCAAAAAACCAGATCATTTTTTCTTTCAACCAAGGGTGATAATTTCATTAAAACCACGAAATGATTTAAGTTAAACGACGATCGAAAACCTGGAAGCACTGGATAGCCATTTCGTCCTGATACGAAACTCCCCAGCAGTTCGCACCCATGACCCTGCGACCGGGAATCGTACCCTGAATGTTTGACCTCGTGAGTGAACGAATTACCTCTAGGCGGTGTAAATGTCTACCTTCAATAGATTCTCGACATTGCGCGCAACCATTACTAGGACGAAACAGGAGACCAGACTCTCTCCAGGTTGACCCAAAAAGAAGAGAATATAGTGCTTCCGGAGGGAGATATCAACGATGATATCTGAGCCATTACTTTTAACTAGTGACTAGACATTTCTCCTTTTTTATTGATTCCAGTTAACCAAATTGGCCAAGTTTTGCAAAGATCACAACGCTAGTCAGTTTCTTTTACTTATGCACTCAGATAAATGGAAGTCATAACATTTTTTATCAAGAGGGAAGATGATGTGAACAGAGAAATAAAGAAGTCATGACAAACAACGGAAGCAATTTTTGGGACGTTATTTTGTTCGTTGAAAGCTTATGAAACACTAACCTTTAATTTTGTCCCTAGTTTATTCTACAAACCATAAGCTTTAGTTTGATGTATGACTCACTGACATACCCTTTTCCTTTCTAAAGCTATTGTAATTTAGACGTAACCTTTGGTACTCTATTTTTCTACGCCTATACCCAGTTTGGACATAATCGTATCTTTCTAATTTTTGTGTGTTGTATCAGTGTTAGTCATCTATTCATTCATATATCTTTTTACACTCAGTTGAATTGCGAATCGGGAATCAAGAATAAATAGAGTAGCGTTCCATTTGACTCGTCTTTCGCTTGTCACCCAATCAGTTGATAGAATAGTTTTCGTCTCTCTGCCCAAGGTCGTTAGTCACACGAACTTCTAACCTCAAGGTTAGATCGGTTAGCCCATCGTGTCAAGGCCTTAACCTAGATCGAGACAAGTTCTCTCTTATTACCAAGAACGTAACAGGTCAAAATATGCCGTATAAAAATCCGAACAATGACAGTTTATTCTTATGTTGTGTAAATATTTAATTTCACAGTTCATATCATGAACTGATCCTAGTATATTTAATAAAAGGGAGGGATCTCTGGAACGCCATTTCATCCTATTATGAAACTCCCCAGCAGTGAGCATCCTTGATACCACTAGAGAACGAACCGAGTATTTTCAGGACTCGTGGTGAGTGCTTAAACTTCAAATCTTTGAGGTGGGATCCACTCAATCACATATCTATCTTTAATCACTGCGGTAATACATAACCAAAAACCAATGTTGTTTGTCATGTTTATCTCACTCCTAGAAAGGCAGGGCTCCACTACTCACAGTTTCTCACTAGAATTATGAGAATTATCTCTCAAAGTCAAGTGTGAAA